TATTTTTTCCTTTTATCCACTTTCTATACAACTGGGCTCTGGGTGAAGAGTAGTGTCTTAGTCAAGAACACTGCACAATGACTCGGCCAGCTCTCGATCCTGCGCGCTAATCATTACAGTGCCGCTTCCTCCCGCGCAAAATGGCTAGTAAGAGGTGTATCAAACAAACCTTTTGGTTCCCTAAGGGATCCCCTGTGAATTCCGAACTGAATGTTAATGAAGGCAAAGTTCCCACAAGAGCTCATAGCTGTAGTCTGAGGATCAAAAAGTTTACAAAGGGCACAGTGTTTTACACAGTTTACTCCATTGATGTTTACAAACTTTAGGAAGATCTTATTGTTGGCTTTTATTTTTTTAAAACATTGCAATGAAAGAGCTCGAATGAAACGGCTAAAAGTTTGAAAAGACGAATGAATAAATTAGGTCTAAAACACACGGAAAATTAAGTTTAACACGTGTGAGGAGCAAACGCAAACGCATGTAATAGAATATGAAAATGCTTTCATTTATTGCGTTGACGCTTGCGTTTGCGTTTGCCTTTTCAATTTCGTTTGTATTTCCTTGCATTTGCATTTTCGTGAGTATTTCCTTGCATTTTACTTGAAGCATATACTAGATCAACACATGTTCCCTATTACCAAATCATCGTCCGAATTCAAGCCATAGGCACCGAAAGCATTTCGATCGGACATACTACAACGAAATATTATTCTTGACCAGAGACAACACTTAAAATAGATGCAGAAAACACTTGTTTGTGTCTGATAAAGCCGGTTCGAATAATTTCAGAAATTGCAAAAAAAAAAAAAAAAAAAATTAGTCGTTTGCGTCTAAACAATAAGTCAGAAAAGAAACATTTGCTCTAAGACCCAGGTAGCCGCTGAAGAACATAGGCCCCGTCATTAACGATCCTTCAGTGGTTACGGTTGTTTCAACATACCTTTCTCAGAATTACTCGATTAGTCGGCCGACTTTCAAGTCCCCTTAAATAAGTTATAATTCACATTTTTAATTTTTCTATTTCCGAAAAGAGGAATTTTTAACCTAAACTGTTTGGAAAAATAACTTTTTTTAAGTGAACATAACATAACGACGATTACCTCAAAAGAATCCAATGACGTCTTGACATCCTCGGCTGCTGTAATGTAAAAAAGAGTCTATAGGAACAACGTACCAACGAGTAGTTACGACCCACTGCAATGTACAACATCAGGGCAGTGGCAAAACAAAATGTGTCTCATACACTGTTTAATATAACGATTACTAGGATTAATTAAAGTTTACGCAAAGATATTCATGTTCGCGTTAGGATTTTACAGAGGAGCTCTTTAAACTTTGAAATTGTTAATCTCTTTTATATAATTATAGTGAAGAACAAGTTCTTTTCCACCCGCTCCAGAAACGACAATTACACTGGGATTTACCTTCGTCAATCTCCCCAACAATGGAACCTCTAGCACTATCTTTAGTTCGCCTTGACATTACTGTGGATGACGTAAAGGTTTTTTCACTGCTTCCCTTTGAGATAACACTTTCCTTCTCGATTTCATCTTCACCACGGTCCAAGTTGGGAGGAACTGTAACAAAAGAGAGAGATAAAAAAAAACCGATAAAAAAAAAAACCGATCAAAAATCGGTCAAAAAATACAACATAATTATAATAATATTACTAACTAGTCTGTTTAACTAACTGCTTAAATTCTTATAGGTTTTTCTTTTAATTTGCAACAGCTTTTACAATGAAATTAGTTTATAGTGGGACTTAAAAATTGTCTTCGATGTATTTACATAATACGTCTGGCTCTCCAAACTCAACAAACAGTATGCTTATACCATTCTCCATAGAATGCTGTTAATTTCCGAACGTAATTGCCAACGTATTGTTTATTTCAATAAACAAGAATTCTTATGAAATTGTTAACATTACTCTACGTTGTGGCCCGGTTATTCAAACGATGTATAACGCATACCAGCTCAATCAAATCAAGGTTTAGATCAAACGCTTGGCTATCGTAAATTTTAATCAGAACGTAGTTTGCCAAATAACGGTTGATTAAACATCGTTTTAATAACCGATCTTGAAATACGTGGTTGAAATGTTACCTCCACAATCAGAGTCTTCCTGGTCAGATACTGCACTAGATGATGAGTCAATATCCGCAGAATAGCCACTTTCCACCTGATTGGCGTGTTTTTTGTCAGTATCCTGATCTATTTGGAATTATGGTAATACGTGGTCATTGAATTAAGAATGATGTAATAAAGAAACTTCAAATTATAAATTTTATGCATCATTTTAAGTTTTGTATCAAATATTAGCTGTTGGGCTCAATGGTACACCCTTTTTACTTACTCATCTTCGTTTGGGCTTCCTCAGTAGCTTTCACGAGCTCTAACCAATCCACTGTTTGACTAAACTGTTTACCATTCTGAATCTCTTGAGAGAATCTGTTCGGGGAACAATACAAAAAGTGCAAATCGCAATGAGCTCGCTTTCTTTACTTACAACAGTGGAACTTAAAAGTTACTCAGTACTGTAGAGATTTTATACATAACAACGATTTTGATTTACAATCTGACATCTGGCACTTGTTTTGATGACCTCGGAGTTAGCAATTGTTGCACTTGTACGCAAGGTGCAGCTGAGTATTAGGTGTCTGCTCTTTGGCCACCGTCAATTTTTCCCATGGAGAGCTTTTATTTGCTAATCGTTTCATTGTGCAGGAATAGATGAATGGCAGTTTGAAACTAAGAAAACTCTTAGCTGATCACACTGCGAGTGATAGAACGAATTAAGGAAAACTAAGGAAAGGCAGATGAATTGTAGTTATTGTTTCTTCTACTGCACTTCAAAAAACTTTACCTCTTTGTTATTTCTTCAAGGTAATTTGCAATCTCGTCGTTACCAGAATCCCTCGCAACAGACTCTGGCAAAGTTGCGTTGTCCTTGTAAGAATTAAATACCACTCCTCCAGCAGAGGAATTGAAGACGATTTCGATGAACTCCTTAGCACCATGTCTTGCTGCTGTATAAATCAGGATGCTCAACACATGGGGTAGCTGTGAGGATCCTGAAAAATTGCACGCTATAAACGTTATCATGAGACAGGATTCCTATACTCACCTAATGGTGCTATGAATTTGGCGACAAAAATACTTTCAACATAACACTGTGACATTCGTCACAAATAAACTCACCAAAAGCCTCACTGATTTGTTTTCCATATCCTTTATTTAGACCTCCACTGTTTCCGCCACCACTGTCTCCACTTTCACGGTTTCCAGAGCTTCCACTTCTACGACGAATGAGCGTCTCATATAACTCTTTTTGTTCGTCAAAGTTAAAAACAATCTCCTCGAGAAACTCTTCACGGGGAGATCTTTCATAGTATATTCTTGTGCGCCCCAAAACAGGTTCGTATGGACTCTGGTCGGCACGAAGTGTGATAGTAACCCAACCCGGTTCCTTTGAGACTGCAGAAAAGAAAGAAATAATAATCAACGATCTTTCACACCCGTGATATATTTGTGGATCAAATATGGGTGATTTCAACAAAGTTCGGCTGTAAAAGGACCTCCAACTTACTAAATATATTTTTTCCAAAGTTACACACCGGTTATAGGATTACAATTACAATATCAAATTTCTTGTGCGGACAAAGATCATATCCAAGACATCCACAGTATGAGGCGGAAAGGTCGACCGTCTATGCAGCACCAAAGAAAAATAAAAAAACAATAGGACACCAAGACATATAACTCTCTGTCAGATGGTTAGTTTTAGGAAGACTAAGATGGTTCCGCTGAACACAAGGCTACACCTCAAGCCACGAATTACCGGATGTTGACACGTGATTGTGATAATCAAAGCCACGTACACTGGACTGTTGACTTATGTAGAAACTCTAGGCAAGTCTAAGCACGTCATGTTAGAGGGATCTTGAGGGAGACTTATGACTAAAACATCCCTAAAAGTTTCCTTCGCGATAAGCCAGATTGATAAGCGCAGGACAAGCAACTTCCTCCCATAAAAATCCCGCTAGTAAACCTACTTAAGGACGAATGTTGTCTGACATCGGACCACTGAGGCCAACGTCATACGTAAGAGAAATTTCGTTTATCTCGGTGCCTGGCAGATCGAAGATGGAGAGACAAAGAAGCGTCGAGAATGGGTTTCCCTTGCTTGAGCTAAATGTGAAAGAGCGTGGAAAGAGCGTGAAGGATGGAGAACCTTCAATAGTAGCCTGAGGATCCCCTTTTGGGGGCGAGGAAGATAGCGAATGAGTTACCGGAGAATAGTAAATAACGAAATGATCTTTATAAAAGAATGGAGACAAAGGAAGGAGAAATTAAAGCTCTAAAAGAGAATTCAAACCTGGAAGGAGCTTGAACCCTTGCTTGTCTTTACGTAATCAGATAATTTGGTTTTATCAACCAGGTTCATAACGTAAATTAGCCACCCTAAAGAGTTTCTAAGCCGATGTTTCGAGCATGAACCCTTCGTTATTCGCTCAGACGAAGGGCAAGCGCTTGAAACACCAGCTTTGAAACTCTTTACGGTGGCCAATTTACGTTATGAACTCAGTTCATGATACTAAATTATACATTTATAACCACTTTTTGTGCATATAACGTGAAACCGTATACAAACCTGGTATGAAGCCTAAGTATTCAACATCATTCGGCAACTTTGTCAGTGAAATTTCTTCTATAGATTCAAAGGTGGCAGAAACTGATGTAACGTCTGATGACGGCTTTGGAGTGAACTTAAAGACGCAAGGGCCTCCTCCCTGCCGGTTAGAATGGAAAAAAGTCATCACCCAGTCGAAGTGTCACTGCGGTTTAGAGTAAAACACCGCTTCGAATATGGATGCACTAATTATTATTTTCTTTTTTGCACTGAGTTTTTTCTCGAGCAAAAAGGATCAAACCATCTTTGTAAGTTCCATAAATCCATACTGGTTTGTTAGTTTGGCATTTGTTTTTCCATGGAAAAATGAGAGGAAAAATCTTTTTACCTCTTGATGACTCCGTTCAGGATTAATTTGGACGTCGTGAGGATACACGATATCCAGATTCTGTAACCCACTCGCAAAATCGTCTATTTTCGAAATAAAAAAGGTAATTAATCAAAATTCCCGGTTAATTGGTAAGTTTCACAGAGACACCAAGATTTACTTTATACAATGGAGATTTCTTAGTTTTAGAATTTGACCAAGATTTTCTTAACTCTTCCTTTGATTGGTTATTTACACCAGCTGACTTGAAATATGCGAAAATCAAAATCTTGGAGGCGTTTTTTGAGGAGATAGAGCTGGGTCATGTTACGAAATGAATCCGCCTAACTCCTCCTTCGGTATCATATTCTTCATGGGTCCACGACAAGTTTTTCAGGAACAAGGAGATCTTAAGGCCCGGCAAAACGCACGCAACTTTTCAACGCAACATCTGCCAGCATCTGCCAAACGCGTGCAACATCTTGCAACATCCAAAAATGTTGCGACAAAAATTTGACCATTTTCAGACCTGATCTAACACCATCCAACATGTTGCAACATGTTGCAACTGTTAATACAGGGTGGCAAAACGTGTGCAACACGTTGCATGCAACAATGTCGCATGATGTTGCTTCAAAATTTTGCTTGCGTTGACCAGGCCTTTAATTTTGATCCTTGAAATAACCAAAACGATGTAATGTGCAAATCTAAAGGAACAGTAAAGAGTCTTTTCCATTGTAACCTTTTTTCAAACCTGCACGAAGTACGAAATTTAGCGACAGAAAAATGGTTGGTTACAGACTTCGTTTAGGGTAAAAACTGCCATTTCTCGCTCTTAATTAACAAAAAAAGAAGCCTTGAGTGTGCTCTGTTCTGTTGTAAAGCACGCAGGAAGCGGCTAAAACACGGAAGAAGTGCAAGGGGGAAAACGACACATGGTCGAGTGTTTTTCCTCGAGCCGTTTCCTAAGTGCTTTACAACAGAATAGAACGCAGTCAAGGCTTCTTCATTTGTGTTATAATAAAGAATCCGTTAAATTTTAATTTTCCAAGCGAAAAAAACTGTTCTATACGCACAAAAAACACGCTACAGTATAAACCAATAGGAATTCTTGCTAGAATGGTTCGAATAATCTGATTGGTTGAATAAGACCAAAGCTGTCAAAAATGTCAAACCGTCTAAGTTGATGAACCATCAAAGTTCATGATGTGCAATAGTTCAGAAACTGAAATAGTCTGGCAGGTCGAATTTAAAACTTTAGCCTGAATCTTTTAGTCTTAACGCAATACATGAAAGGTAAATGTTCAGTAAAATCCGGCCGAACTGTGGCCTACAAAAAACTGGCAAGTTTCTACGCATGAAAATTAGAAAAACAAACTGCTAAAGGCGTGGTGATGACAGCGCCGTAAAATTCGGCTGCTGTGACTGATGTGGTCTTCCACTCAACGCACCGGAAAGGATATCAGAGCAAGCTCTTAGTTGTGCATTCGAAAGGCGGACGATGTAATTTCTGAGGCTTGCGTCACTGCGTCACTCATCGCCACGATGAACTAGCCGCGATGGACTTCAGCATGATCGCAGTCACTCTGACACCGTCATTATTAGTATGAATTTTGACAGTTGTGCCAGTATGGGTGTGTTTTTAATAATTCCTGTCTTTTTTTTCTGTTTTATTTTGAACACGAAACTATATACACCATATGAATGTTGGGTGTATCTGATTTTTGTTACCGAACGTAAGCTTACAAACCTTCAAAACTCGCACTGTCCATTTCGTTTTCTCTTTGAGAATTTTCGTCCCCACCCACGATATAGTAACGTCAATTACGGCGCTTGGCATGTTTACAAAGCTTTGTTTGGCTCTTCTGTTGTTATTTCCCGGCTCGCTTGTTCCGAAATTTCGCTTTCAATTAACGAAAAAAAATTTATAGAGATTCGCGAAATGGTCGGACATAGTAAAAATTGGGAAATGGCGTGACAGCTTTAGCTTAGCTCCGGTTTTTGTAATCTGATAGAACACGCTCTTTCAATCAATGATAGTGCGCGTTATATCCGAACTTTATTGCAAATGATTTTCGATGACAGGCACATTGGTAACGTAGTGCGCTCGCGCTTATTGTCGGTCATTGTGCGCAACGATACGCAGAACGAGATTCAGAGAAAAATACCAAGCAATTATCTCAGAGTGAAGAAGCTTTTACTGTTGTCAGTTTACTCAATATAAATTATGTAAGGTTGAGAGCTAACCTTCTGAAACCACGTTATCACTTTCTGAGATTCCGCTTGTGGAGTCATTTAGTATCTGCCGGATGAAACATTTTCACACAAAAATCATGGGTTGCTAAAGGATGGCTGCATAGTTCATTTCATAAAAAGCAGTAACAGTTGAACATTCATCTAGGCGGTTTGAAAACTGGATTTAATTTTTTACCTGCAACTCGATCTGCATTTTAGATGCGTGAAAGGTGTTCATCTTACCTGCTGCTCGTCACTAATGGCACCATTAACATTGGCAACATCAAAACCTTCATGAAAAAGAGATGGTATTAACTTTTTTAGCACATAAACTGCTGTGTTATACAGGGATTTCCAGCCCTGAGAAAAGCCGTAACAACACATGTGAAAAAATATCGTATTTTTCACATGTATTGATATAGCCAATCAGCTACTGACACGTCACTCGCCTTTGGCACCACTCGGTCAGGTTGATGAATGAATGGCAAAGCTTTCACAATTCTCGATACAAAAAAAATCCGTATCGCTGACGGACAGTGAGGTTCAAACTTTCCTAGAAGGGAAAAAAAACCAATATACAAAAGAAAAACCGAAAGTTACGTATTCAGTGGCTTTGGTGTTAGCATTTCTCTCGGCTTAGAATGAAAATCGACAACTGGAAGATTTGTAACTAGCTGATTTTGGCTGTTTACCTGAAAGACTTCTTCTGTCGGTGAGGACAAAGTCAGTAAATGAGAATTTTGTAAATTGAAAATTACGACCATCGTTGATTTTGTAATCATTATTCAACGCATTTTCCATCTTAGGAGTTAGTGCCAACGCACTACGATTATTATTCGGGGATTTTCGATTCATTATTTTCATTTATAACTGAGTCGGCTTTTCTTCTCAGTAAAGGGCTATCGTGTTTGTATGATAAACAAAATAATACATGGTTGCTTGGAGGTATGGAATTTCTCTTCTCGTGTTCAGCTCGACATCTCACTCGTTCTCTGAGCTCACTCTTGAGATATCGAGTTAAACACTCGAAGAGAAATTCCATATCTACGCGCGCCCAGGGCTATTACGCGCGTATGGTAAATTCCTTGCACGGCGTGCACCATCACATGACGGTTGCAATTTCACTTCGGCTGAAAGTTCCCGTTGAGTTAAACTGCGAGGTTTCAAAACTTTTAAGATATTTTTCCCGCTCTATCTCGATTGAGATTGACCTTTTGGAGGTCATAATGAAAATAAAACATCTTGAATATCAATCGTTTCGAAAAACAATGTGCATCTAGTTATTTCAAGCGACGAAATTAGTTTTGGAGCTGACAATACCGCATTGCCAAACGTTATACGAATTATGGCTGAGAAAGAAGGTAAGCTTTCTGACTTCAACTGAGGCTTTGCGACGATGGTTTCGCGACGGTCTTCACATTCGATGACCTCATGCCCCCCAGCAGATCACTGTTCCATTGGCGGTTTGTATTTTTGGTGGTTTCGGCGAGAAAGCCTTCACGTCACGCCACAAACAAGCTCGACGATTCGCCACAACATCGAAATATTTCGTGTATTGCTAAGCAATATAATGTTCAGATAGAGCGTCTGATGTTCTGCAAAGTTATTCGACATAACGCTTCACCATTTGTGTGTACACTGTACCATTCTACATTACGCTGAGCCATTTCACGCAACTCTACACCATTTGTGTGTACGCCGTACCATTCGACATTGCGCTGAGCCATTTCACACAGCGTTACACTATCTGTGTGTACGCTGTACCATTCGACGTTACGCTGAGCCATTTCACGCAACATTACACTGTTTTTATGTACGCTGTACCATTCGACATTACGCTGAGCTATTTCACGCAACGCGACACCGTTTGTGCGTACGCTGTGCTACTCGACATTACCCTGTGCCATTTGACGCAACGCTACACCGTTTGTGTACTGCATTGCAAATGAGTGCTAAGCTATTCGTAATTGAGCTAGTCCATTTCACAATTTCATGTTCCAACTCGACATGGGCAACTGGATCGTTTATCATTTGGCTAGACTATTCATGTTTAGGGTGTTCTGTTTCATGAAGGAAAACTAAACCGTCTATAATTTGGCCATGCCATTCCTTTATTAGCTATCCTATCCTGCAGCTGATCCTTAGACCAGCTTTGTATCGGCTAATCTATTTTACATCCTTGTATTTTTGGTGGTGACGGCCGCCCATAAAACGTACCTCTACCACAGCTTTTACAAAAGTTTGCATCTTCATCTACTACCGAACCACACGCGGAGCAAAACATCGTGAGCTCGATGGCGGTTTTTTGAGTGAGCAGTGTGTTACTGTTACACGACGCACCATTTCAGATGTAAATAACAACCGCTGACCAACTCGTTGTCTTTGTTTTGCCGTGAGTTAATTTTGTTTTGCCGTGAGTAAAGTTTGTAGTGCCGTGATCCTAAAAGTATATTGTTCAACAGATGATCAATTTCAGAATTCTAAAACCAACTCTTACGCTTCTCTCGTGCTCTCCAATTTTTCCGCGTGCATCCATAACTCGATATACGCACGCGAAGCATGGACCAATCCTTTATTCAAGATTCATGCGCTTAGTCCGAAAGAAATGAATATCAAACGAAGGGTGACGCTAAAATTTGGATAAACATGTGGAAGTTCCTATAACGTTGGCGTTACCTTTACAAAGGCCAGTCACAGCCCCCCTTTCTGAATCTAAAGACTAAATAAGAATGGAGAAAAAACAGTTTCAAACACATATATGTTACTGATAGTTTATCATTTTAGACCAGCAGGGTGTACATGACTTCACATCATACACACTGCTATTGCTACTGAATTCTCTCAAAAGAAGTCTTCCCTGACTTATCCACGACATTGACAGACCCAGAAACCAAAAGAAACCAAAAAAGCTAACCAAATTATGATGAAATAGCTTAGATTTCTTTTAATCTTAAGCTGCCGTTAAAGAATTTATAAAAGTAGCCTGAAAATATTCAGGCGTCGGCTGGATTCGAGCACGTACCTCTTCACCAAATAGGCTACAAAGCCACATGTTGGGAGGGATACAAATTTTAAAAGATATTAAAGTTCACAAGGCGACCAGGTGGACAATCAGACATGATTTGATGCTACTCTGGTTAAAAGAGTTAATGAATGTAACCGAGCAGTTACAACTCATAGACCCAAATGAAACGTTCTCTATGTAGCATCATGGTTTCATAGTTAAAGCTAGCCTAAACTGAAATGTCACACAAATGAAGATGTTCTAAAATAGTACATATAATCACGCAATTATGTCAAATAATCTAGTTTGAAATCAAGAATGCCTACTGCTAAAAGAAATCTCTTGGATGCTGGTGAATATGTTGTAAAGGCAATTACCTCCAATAAGTAAAGGGTCGAGTTTCCTTTTATCTTGGTCCTAATAAAATTGGAATCCCAAACACGAGGATGTCCGTAATACTCAAATTTTGAGCGATCCCTGTCAATTCGAACAACAGCTGCACAAGAAAATCTGAAAAGGAATTGAAAGTACTGTTAACTAAGTCTTTGATTATTTGTTTATCACTTTTATTTTTCGGATTTGTTTATTTGTGTTCTGTTAGCTCATTCTTCCCAAATTTCAAAGGACCGATGCATATTTCATTGGTTCAAATAATTTAGCCAATTTCACTTGAAAGCTGAATGCAGTGGCTGATGATTACAAATTATACATTGTGTAGCTCAGTAGGTTCATTACTTGAATAATTTGAAAGTTTCCTCACCTCCTGCCTTTCAAGTAAGGAAATGTTGCCTCGAGATGTTCCTTTACCATGTCATCTGACATGTCTGCATCAAATTCCAGATTTCTCTTGAACTGTTTTAGGTGATCAGATCTTTTGATCGTCGACATTTCACTTTGTGTTGGCATGCATGTGCCGCCATTGACATTATGAAAATCATTTTTCTTTAGGAGTAGGACGTTTTTTGAAATTTGGGTGTTTCTTCTATTCTTGGGAATGGCACCACCTTTAAACTGTTGCATAGCTGACCATGTAAATAAAAAGCAATCATTAAGTGCACTAGCATCATGATTTATTTTCATAGTAAGAATAAAGAAAAAATTCAACTTCTAATGACAGCCATAATTATATATGACATGTGATACCAGAGAGAGAGTTGTCAAATAACTGCATACATTGGCTCTCGCATCTGCTAAAAATTTTTCAATTTTTTTCAGTTGCCCAAACACAGGATTAAGCAACCCATGAAAACTGCTAGGTAGCCATACTGAACAAGAAATGGCCATAAGAACTATCAGTATCAAAATTTGTTTGAGAATTCACTTAAACTGACCTACATGAAGAACTAGCAACTTTCTTTTAATGAAGACATTTGTTATCATTGCTAGATGATCAAGAATAATTTTCTTAGTCTCTATTGACAAAGAAGAAAATGGCATTCTTTGATATTTAAAGGGTCTAGAAAAGGTATATGTTCGTACATAACCACTTTAATACACTTCTTCACCCTTTATCATTAAGAGATGCTTCTGACTCTCTTTTCCCTACAAATAGCCAACAAAAAGCAAAAAAATTGATATTTAACATACAAAGCTAAAGTAAGGTAATTTGTCCTAGAGACTTTTATTGTACTCCAATGTACTGTATTGATTTATATAGTTGTAAATTTTTCACTTTTAAAAATTTTGAAATAACACGAGCCATGTTTTTAATTAGTCCTGTCTCATAAATGCCATCATTTGAAACCACAAATTCAAAATGAAAGTAAAGCTTAGAAAAGATGCTTTGTTAGATCATGCGTGGGCATGTTTTGACGTGGTGTCATCCACGCATGTCCGTATGCAACAATGCCTTGGCATACATTAAACTTCTAACTGGTCGTTTTTTCTTAAGTATGTTTTTTTTTGTAATTTCTTTTATTGTTCCAAGCACCCTCCTTTAAACTCTGGATTAAAACGTTGTTACTTTGTGCAAGAGCCGCGCGTTTCCTCGTGAATATACCTAAACACATGTGGCCAGCCATTCGTAACGGTAATTAATGATTTACGCAGTCTGCAAACAACACTTTAAATCTGCTGGAAAAAAAGTCCGCAGTCGTTCCTGTTTTAAATTCATCGGTGCGGAAGGCGTCTTATCATCGATAGGATTTAAAAGAACTGATGCAACTTATCGGTCGAAAGCACTATTCAGTGCACGTTCGATGGATGTTCAATTTGGCTCATGCATAACGAAAGTATCGATATTTCGAATCGATCAATCCGGCCTCTGAGGATCCAAGAATAAAAATTGATCGCAGTAACTGTTCTAATTTGACCACAAAAAAAAGCCCAGGAAGGAGACAAAATTAACCTATGACTTATTCCCACGAACTTACAAATGCATGGATAGTTCAAGAGATTTGGGGTGAGGTATGAAAATTCCTAACCAAGTTGTACCTACTGTAGAGGCCGACATGTTCTCCCAACATCGATTTCAATGGTGTTCACAAAGAATTGAATAAGTGATGTAATTCTCACCAAATGCAAGGTCCCAAGTGTTTGTTAATTCAAGAAAATATCCCAGTGATAAGAGAAATTAAAGAGAAAGTGAACTAGATTGCCGTTCGATCACAAAATTAAAGATTTAACCGTCTCTTTCTTAAGTAACAAAAGAAAAACTACTGCAGTTACCTCAAAAGGTAAAGATTGGCATGTCACAAATAAGATGAAACTAAGACTTTGCCAGCGTCAGATGAGACTCGCTATCTGCTTGCAGATCGATCTTCATATAATTCTCCTGGAGGGTTATTTATATCTTGTTGAGTGTGAAATGATGGTCAGGTGACTGTTACAGAGATTACGTCATTGTTGTGACGAATAGTTAATGTGTAACCATAGATACCAGCTGTTTAGAGAGAAGTTTCAGACTTTGTACTTAAAGACACATGACTATTGTGCTATGACTCTACCTTGTGATACAGTAGAACTTCCATTTAACGGACCTCTGTATAACGAAGTCCTCGGTATAACGAACGATACTCTTCAGCCCGGCCAAAGTTACCGTAAAATTTATGGGAAAGAACCTCGATAGAGCGAAATCCTCGTTATTACGAACAAAATCCAGAATCCCATACGTATAATAACCCCAATATAACGAACAAAGGTCAACACGTGACATAAGACAAATGCATTGCAAACCAACAAGAACTAAAGTCCGTAAATTCTGAAACAATAGAGCAACTTCATAGCTGACAGCTCACTATAAATGCCAACACTGACACTATCGACACATCCACAGATCCACTTTATCCTCTTTGTCTCTTATTAGTTTTATTAACTTCTTTATTTTTGAAGGCTTCTTGCGGTAAAAGGTGATATTAGGCGTGAAAATTCTTACCAAACTCGCACCTACCGCTGAGGCCTACATGTTATCCGAATTGCCGATTTCAATTTTTTTAAAAAGGATTCAATAAGTGGTACCGTTCTCGCTAAATGCAAGACTGCAAATGCTTGTTTACTCAAGAGAATTACCCAGAAGTGAAAGCGGAAGTTGACTAAGTCGTCATTAGATAACAAAATGAAAGTTTTAGCCTACTCTCTCATAGGAGAAAAGATAAAAACTCTAATGGTTCACTCAAAGGAAAAAATTCGCGTGTCACAATTGCAAGTAAGGGATGCAAACTAAACTTCCCAGCGTTAGATAAGACTCCTTATCTGTATACAGATCTATCTTAACATACAACACACCAAGTGAGGGGGTTATTTATATCTTATTTTAGGGAGTAGCAAATGAATTTAAAGGTCAGCTGACTGTTACGAGGTGACGTCAAGGATGTGGCAGATGTTTAATGAATAACCATGGTACCGGTCGTTATGATGGAGGAATTAGGCACGTGACTCTCATGTTGACTCTACCTCGTGATACATCCTTTACGTCACAACAGGAAGTCTTCCTATATATTCCCGCTAAGAGTCCACCCTTTTATCTAAAGGTAAGAATCGGCCTGTCACAAATAAAGGATGCAATCACGATTTTCCCAGCGTTAGATGAGACTCTTTATCTGCATGCTGATCGATCTTTATATCATACTCCTAGTGGGTTATTTATATCTTGTTTTATGGAGTGGAAAATGAAGATCAGGTGACTGTTACGTGGTTTACGTCATTAGTGTGACGAATAGTTGATGCGTAACCATGGAAAGCTGCTGTTAAGACATGTGACTATTGTGCTATGACCCCACCTTACAAAATATTTTCAGTTTCATTTCAAATCAAAGTCTCTGAGTCTGGAATACGTATTACAACCGAAAGCCTCTGAACCTGGATAGCTATCTAGTTGTGTAGGATTTTTATAAGCAACGCAAACTACGGATACCTCGGGGAAAGAGGCAAAATAACGATGCTTTGCGTAATTGTACTGAGAAAAAAAGTTAGGAGTCAGTTTGAGAATAGGTGTGAAGTGAACAACTTTTCCTAACAATTGTTACCAGAAGAGACGCGCACCAGAAGCTGAAACATGTTTTTGAGGAGAAACAGACACGATACCTTACACTTAGAGGCTTTTCCCCGAGAACAGAATCTAAACTCATACTTTTTTCTCAACTTTTACCAATTGAAAACAGAGGGTTCACCACCTTTTAGCTTTCTTATCTTTCGAAAAAGAAGTTCGGTTTTCGTTGTTTTATTACTCCTCTTGTTGTTTTCAGTATGGAACATCTTCAGTGGCTTTCATAAATGTGTCTATATCTATTCATTTTTGCGGTCATTATTTATTGTCTGGGGAAAGAGTTCAGAGGATTTGGATTGTGTCACATTAAAATTTACTTGACGCATCCCCTCCTCCCTACGAGAAATAAAGATTGGTCCCTGACATTAATACTCTGTAAAGCCTAATAAGCCTGTGCACTGTAAAGTGTAAACGTGTAATCGTTTATCAAAATTTTGTTTGAAATCTCTGCGTAATGTCTTTCGTTGGTAATCGCACCATCTCCGATACTTGTTCGACGAAGATGACATAGCGTGGTAGCTCAAAAATAATACTGTGCGGGAATGCAAATATCCTCACTTCTTCCACACGGGCACACTGTCATTGCGGTTAGCGACTGTTGGATGTTGCACTTTGTCCGTCAAATAACAGCACTTTTTAAGTAACTAACCAGGCAAGAACACTGGTTCATTAAGTCCCGGATAGTTGACCATGCTACTTTATGCTCTTCAAGCAAACGAGCCGCTACCTCTCCCAGCTCAGGTTGCTCGGCAATCAGTGGGCCATGGAGCTATAGGTTAAGAGATTAAACGGAATCAGACCATGTATTTTTGGAACAATTGTTCATCGCGTGGAAAATAACCCGACATTGCATGAATTTTGCTACCAATGCCTTGTTAAAAGTGATGCGCCTTTCATATTTTTTGTGGGGCACCACATCCTTTGCATCCGAGTTTATGCAGAAGCCCATTTAGAATTTCCAACTAAAATCCTCCAAGACGAACAACTATTTATCTAAGACAGAAAAACCCTGGTTTTCATTGTACTCACTTCTTACATCCAGCTGTGTGACACTAGAGTCATCCCCAGCCATCAGAGACACAAAGAGAACATGAGAGGTGATTTTAGACTCTACACAGTCCCAAGATTAAAATATTAACACTTCCAGCTAGTCCCTAACCATACTCTATGACAATCTTGGATAAATTTTGTTGAAAAAAATGCACAATCGCACGAAATTATGGTCTAAAATCTTCAAATTGGGTTTGGCCACCCCCACCCCCACCCCCACCCCCCGCTTGAAAGTTGGATACTAAGAGGAGAGTTTGGATGTGTATCAGAATATAATATACCTTGAGAAAAAGGCCCATGACACCTTCAGTGAACTCAAAGTCCCGCCGCGACTGTAGCTGGTACTCCAAGAACAACATGAATGCTTCAACAAGTTTGACGTCTCCACCAGCCGACGGACCAAGAGATCGAATTTCTGCATCGATTGAGGAGGGTCCCATGGACTTGAGGCGCCCCAGGAAAAGTTCATCTAAAAGGAATAAATTTTCGCATTCATTTAAAACGAATGTTGATCCGACTTCACTCCGACTAACTGCGCTATGGCCGAAGCTCGCATGTCGAAATGTGGAAAGCGAACCATCGTGTGTTAGAGTACCACCGAGCCGATAGAAATATTTTCTTATTGTACGCATCTTCAAATGGCGACCGAAATTCACAAATTATTGCAAGAGAAGAAAAATGCTAACAGTACACTTATTTTTTAATTTCAAATGCCAAAGAAGCGTTACTCGTATTCTCAAAGAAATGACGATCTAGAATTGTCCATATTCGAAGAGGTTTTCATGACAGTAGTGGAATATCTTATTCTAACTGCTTAAATATCTGCAATTTCTTTCATCCAAATTATCTGCTAAATGAAACATATATTACTAATTGAGTTTCCAGTATGGCTGACCTGTTTTGTTCACTTCTCTTACATGCCAATTAGGAAAACGAAGTGAAGGTAGTGAGTGAATTTATCCGGAATGGTTTCTAATCCGACGACACCTCGTGTTATCCATGTCCAAAAACTACAAAGACCACTCTGTTACCAATGTCAACTCATCGACATTGTTTAATACTTCTCTGATCTTGTATAAGTGTGGGCTCATAGAGGCCAACGACGCACCAACCGACAAAGCATAGGCAGTTAAGATTTTGGAAATTATCAAGAAGCTGACTGAAAGTAACATTCGCGTGGATCAATAAAATCTAATTACCACCATAACATTATTACTTTATAACAGCTTACTACTCACAATTTCCGGAGCTCGAACCCTCCTTCAAAAGCTTTTGAAATTCTGAAGCTTGTTCAAGCTGTTTCATGTCTAGAATTTTAGATTTGGCATCCTAAAAAAGCAAAGGCAATGCATGTTTAAATGAATTTTCCGTATCTAATTAGTAATTCTCCCTTCTAATTGTTACATGATTCTTGGAAGGTAATTGAAAGAATTTTACGTTTTATCAAGAAAACACCGTCCAGGGTACAGGGTTTGTCTATTGTTAACACCTATTTGTGCATCGTATGGACATTGTAAGGAGAAGTTTCAGATCAATCACTTCTGTTTATACTCTGTTGCAGGCTCTCAGTCGGTCAGGAGAAGAGAGAAGCAGCAGCGAGCCACAAGTAATACAGCGGTCAAATGTCTCCGCATACGCGAACGTTGTAATGACTAGGTGGCGTGCTTTTAGGCTGTCAGAACCAATCAATGAATAGCGTTTCCTTTCTCTTTTTTCTTTGTCGATTTACGCGCACTCGCTCTCTTGCCAGAGCCTGGCACAGACTATTCTCCGTGTTACAATGCATGAAAGTACTTTTGGACTTAGGGTTCACCCTGCGAGAAAAACTCACTTTTTCATCAGTTTGATCTTCTTCAGATTCAAGGAATTTAGGCACCAGTTCCTGTGTGGTAGGCAAAAAGAACGGAGCAGCTTTGGGCGCCTTAGGTGGCTCCTGTGGTTTGTTCCTTTTCTGAAAAGAAATTAAGTAAGATTAGGTATTTACTGGTTGATTGGAAAACAGCACGAAAAGTAGGAGAAGTATACACACACACCGTCACTTACCTTTATTAGCTCCAGGCTGGTGAGGTGTCGCCATCTTGACTTTGGTAGAAGAGACAGAGTTACAAGTTCATCAGAGAGCTGATCAGGGCTTTTATAACTGGCTGTGTTGTCGGCAGCACTAGATTTATTACCT